CAAACGTGTAACTAGTCACTTTCATCGCTGTTTTACGGGCTTCCTTTTGTGATTAGGACAAAAATGTGTAGAATCTTTTTTATAAAGAATTTCATGCTCTACAATTTTTGTTTGAAACATTTTTTTGTACGATTCGTATATTTCGAAATAAATGCAAGAAACTTAAAAAAATGTTGTTTTTCAGCTGTTTTTTCAAGATTGCGGCCAAGATACGGCCGAGCGCCAATTTCTGCTGCCATATTCGTTTTCAGGAGCCAAAAATACATCAAAAACACGTGGTCGTTTGTATGATTTCGAATATGCAGTTCATCCGAAGGTTTACCAAACTATTTTTGTTTTAAATCTTTTCAAATTTTGTATAGATCATGTTACTATCTCTGTTTCTTTTTTGATATACTATACATTAATGTCATCACATATTTGTAACACGTAAACGTAGAATATTATAATTTACGCGTAGCACGACACACTCTGGTATTTATAACTTTTTTTATTCTTGGTGAATTTTTTCTTTAGGCACGTGCATATATTTTGTATGCATAAATACATGTATGAATAAAAAATTTTATTCATTAAAAAACGACAAATATCGTTTATCTACTAATCAAATTTGATTATTGAATTTAATTTTTTACATGTTATTTACGTTACGTCGTAACGACGAGATAGCCACAATATAAGGCCATAGATTTAAACGGGGAGCACATACCCTTGCAAAACGCATAACGCATAATGTTTAAGAAAATGAATCAAAGTTTTTTTTTATTTCTTTTCTTTCCATGTAATAGAGGACGTTGACTGGTTGATTTTCTTATACCTTATGTATTATGCACTATGTAAGAGTCTATACTCTCCGCTTTAACACATATTATTTATGCTATTGTTGCTAGTTGCCCTTTGTTGCTAGAGCTCGATCTTATCGCGTGCGTAACTTTGTGCCGTGAGCGTACGTCGTGTCGATATGATTGTCTCGCTGCGCTCACATTGCTAAATTGTCATGTTACATTTCGACTT